GTGGGTGGTGCCACCCCTGGGCAGGTGGGCGTGTGTTGCATAAGAAAGCAGGCTGAGCAGGGACCAGGGGAGCAAGCCAGTAAGCAGCGTTCCTCCATGGCCTGTGCTCCAGCTCCTGCCTCCAGATTCCTGCCCTGAGTTCCTACCTTGGGCTCCCTGATAAACTGTGACCCGGGAGACATAAGATAAATAAACCCTTTCCTCCCCAAGTTGTTATTGGTCAGAGTGTTTTGTCACAGCAACGGAGAAACAAACTAGGACAGGGTGAGGGGTGGAGGCAGGAAGACCAGGAATTCAAGTTGTCTTTGGCGGCCTAGTGAGTTCAAGGTCACCCTGGGCTACATGAGACCATGTCTCAAAAAAAAAAAAAAATCAAGTGAAGTTATAGTTTTAGAGAGCTGTTCAATTAACTATCACAACTTGACTTTATTTGGGGGGTAAAGCAGGAAAATGAACAGGAGAATCTTCCTCAGAAGCTACCCAGCATCTCTCTTACCTCTCACTGTCCAGCAGTGGGCCTTGTGTACACCCTTAGCTGCAAGGGAGTCTGGGAAACAAGGTATCAGCCATCTCAGCTGCTCGATAGGGAAGCAGGCAAGGGACAGGAGTGCTGGGCAGACTGCTGTGTAGCTGGCAACCATCTCTGCTGCCTCCCCATGATCTCAATTTGTGTGAATGTTCTACCCAGTGTTATTTAACTTGTTCCAACTCCATATTTACTGGAAATGGGAAGTTAGGTTTCAATTAGATTCAGGATAAATATTTTTTGCAGGAGTATTTCTAGGCGAGGCTGTGACCTTCATATTTTCTGACTTCCAGTAATGACCAGGTTCTACACTAAGTGACAATTTCCAAGCTGAGGTAGCACACCTTCATTGAAAAGCCAGCCTGGACTAGAGCTCCCTCTTCCCCTCTGAGGACAGTCCAGTGGCTTGGCAAATCTTATATGCTGGCAACTCCAGGCTCTTCTGTATACCTGCTCTTGTTGGCGTTCTCAATAACAATCTCAGTTCCTTATATGTGATTTCCTCAAAGACCTATGTGTCATATGACACAAATGTTAACTTAGTTAAAGATCTGGATGGGGAGGTGGCTCAGTGGTTAAATGTTTTCTGGGCAAGTGTGAGGACCAGAGTTTTGATCCCCAGAACCCATTTAAATGTTAGGTAGGCGAGGCAGCTGCTGTTATTCCAGCCTAGGATGGTGGAGACAGGGGATCCCCAGAGCAAGCTGGCTCAGGAGAATAACCATATCAGTGAGCTCTGGGTTTGATTGAGAGACCCTTCCTCAGTGAATAAGATGGAAGAGCGATGGAAGAGGATTCCTGACATCAACCTGAACTCCCCATACACATGCATGTGCACCCACACATATATGAGCATACACACATGCAAAAATGCATACACATATGACAATGGAAAAATTTGACAATATAGTAAGATAATTTTAAAAATCTTTTTTTTTTGAGATAGGGTCTTATGTACCCCAGGCTGGCCTCAAACTCTATGTAACTAAGGATAACCTTGAACTTCTGATCTTCCTGTTTTTACCTACCAAGTGCTAGTGTATACCACACTTGCAGTGCTGAGAAGTGAACCAAGGGTTCCTCACATGCTAGGCAAGTACTCTACGAACTGAGCCATATCTCCAACATCAGCTTTAAAACTCAAAGGTAGGGCTAGAGAGAAGGGTCAGTGGTTAAGAACACTTGCTGGTCTTGGAAAGGACCAGCACCCACATCAGACAGCTCACAGCCACCTGGAACTCCAGCTCCAGAGGATCTGACACCCTCTTCTGGCCTCTGAGAGCACCTGCATACGTGTGAAACCCACTCATATAGACATACACACATACACATAAATTAAAAATAAATCTTAAAAAAAAACCCACACCCTCCACCCCAGTTCCCCAGCCCTACCCCAGTTTCTTGGTCTGCCAAAGGTACCTGGCCTATCCCTACCTGAATGCTGAAAACCAGCTGTGGGCTGTGACTCACTGTGCCCATCCAACCAGTCCCAGGTCCCAAGACTCTTCTGTGGCAATGGGTCCACTGACAGTCATCTTCCAGTTGCCGCTAGCCTGGCCACTCTATCCTCCTCCTTCCTCCCCAGCCCTGCAGTAGCTTCCCTCCTGTCACTCTCCTGCCATGCTACTCAGAGATCAAGGGTTTCCCTACTGATCTCCTTTCTTATCCCACCATATCTCTAGTGTCCATCTGTTTCACAAGCCTTGGACTTTACTGCTTTCTGTTAATGGTGGGGCATGCCACCTGCCAGACATTTATAGGCATTATCTTTTACCCTCGTAACTCCTGTGAGACTTAGGAATTACTGCCTCTTTTGCAAACAGGGAAAACAGAATTCATTGCACAGGTCATGGTGCCTATAAATGGCAGAACTGGGAGTCAATCCATGTTTGTCTGACCCCAAGCCCTCGTCTAGGGTATCTGAGCCCATCACGCCTTCCCTTCTGTGGAAGCTCACAGCTGTCCCCCACCCTCCCTCCTGTCACCATCATCTCAAGTCTCCGGTCCCCAGCTTCTCTAATGTTCCAGCCTACACTGTTCCAGCCTACACTTCTCTAATGTTCCAGCCTACACTCGCCTCTCAACTCCTCTGGCAGCAATCTAGCCTTGTACAATTTAGTACTTAATTACAGAGTTCTTCCTACAGGCCTCTGGTCATTTCACATTGTCCTTTGCAGCTCTCAGGAAGCCTGTTAGTGTCTGTGGGGGTTGGAACTCCTTGCTCCTGTCCCTGGTGACATGCAGCTGGGGCATATATTCTCTGTGGAGCTCATGGACTGTCCCAGGGAGGAGGTTTTCCAGCTGTTCCAAAGCCATTGGCCCCGTCCTATCTCCTGCCTCCACTACAGTGGTGTGCCCCCGCCACCCCATCAAAAGCTCTCTTCCAAACCTGACATAATGATTTGTCTGAAGCTGCACAAGACAGAACATTCCCTTTCTCCTGATCCTGAACCCTGCCTTCACCATGGAATTTCAGTTTGGATCAACGAGGTCATCAGAGTTCATGGAAGTTTTTGGGACCTGGAAAGCCATTGATATTATCACCTACAGAGAGGCTGAGGCTGACTGGGGCTTCGAGCAAATGACTTGGTGTCTTGATTCTAATTCTGGTCCTACTGCTGTATGGTAATAGTGGTGATGATGGCTATGGTAGTGGTGGTAATGGTGATGGTGATGATGGTAATGGTGGTTATCATGGTGATGATATTGGTGATGGTGATGGTGATGGTAGTGGTAATGGTGGTGGTAATGGTGATGGTGGTGGTGGTGAAGGTAGTGATGGTGATGGTGGGGGTAAAGGTGGTGATGGTGGTGAGGGAGATGGTGGTCATTGAGGTGGTGATGGTGGTGATGATGATGGTGTTGGTAGTGATGGTGTTGATAGTGGATGGTGGTGGTAGTGATGGTGATGTTGGTGATGTTGGTGATAGTGTAGATGATAGTGATGACAGTGGTGATGATGGCAGTGGTGGCAGAGTGGACTTTTGCTGCCTTAGTGACTGGCAGTGACTTTTGGTAGCTGTGAGGAAGACTCCTCCCCAGGGGTCATGCTAGGCAGCCTTTAGAGTTAACCGTGGCCCCCAAGCAGCTGTCCCTTTCCAGAACATCTCTCTGCCCAACCCTGATGTCCTCATTTTGGACCATCTCCAAGTTGTGCACCCATGTGTTTAGATACTGCCATCTGCAATGTCTCATTTCACAGGACTGTAGGATGGGAAGTCTTGAATGATTTAGCTTTCTTCCAAGTGCTCCTGGACACTTGCGAGACATCATACTGACTAGAGAGATGGCTTAGTGCTTGCTACTCTTCCAGAGGACCCGATTTTGGTTCTCAGCTCCCATGTTGGTCAGTTCACAACCACTTGTAACCCCAGCTCCAGGGGGATCTAACACCCTCTTCTGGCCTCTGTGGGTAGCTGCACTCATGTGGCGTACAGATACACATACATACACAGAGACACACAAATAAAAATAAATCTTGAGCCAGATGTGGTGGCGCACACTTTTAATTCCAGCACTTGGGAGGCAGAGGCAGGCAGACCTCTGTGAGTTCGAAACCAGCCTGGTCTACATAGCGACTTCCAGGTCAGCTTGGGCTACCGGGAGACCCTGTCTCAAAAAGACCAAAAAAGAGAGAGAGAGAGAGAGAGAGAGAGAGAGAGAGAGAGAGAGAGAGAAACAAGAGAACAAGGGCTTGGGAACTGCTGAGAGGTCACTGACCAGAGTCAGAGAAAAGGAGCTGAACTGTGAGAGGTGGGAAGGAGTGGCTAGATCCTCCTTCACAGTTTTGCCCAGTGCCAATCTTCACATGTGAATAAACAGAAAGACACTTATATAGAAATATCTTGGAATAATCACAGAACACATCAGATTTCCACAGCCTGGAAGGTCAGGAGAGGGGTGTGGCAGGGGGAGGAAAGTGTGAGCTACATGTCCTTTCTGAAACCAGAGCTACCCAGCAGGCCATCCACGGACGGAAGGGGACACAGGGCCCTGGAGGGAAGTGGCTTGTAACTCTGTCCCTGCAGTAGGGTGTCAGGAACGAAAGCACAAGACGAGCCACTGGTAGGGGTTTTGCAACTGGATGCCGAGGGCAGAGCAGTACCCGCCTCTGTGGGCACGGCCCAGTGCAGGGAACTGGGAACCATCCAGTCCTAGGTGCACCTGGGATGGGCTGAGAGCTGAGGAGCCGCAGATGAATCTAGCCACACAATGAAGCTGGTGTGGGGTCTGCTGGACCAGCACCCTGCCTATGAATCTTGGGACCTGTGCACCTCATCCAGGTGCTGGGGCTCCTTATCAGCCTTTGGGGTTAGCAAAGCAAAACAGGCCCAGGCAGTGGCTGGCTGAACTGCCCGTGGGTGCCTGGCTGAGCCGGTAGAGACAGCCACATTCCAAGCTCCCCGAGGGACGCCTGAGCTGAGGCAGACGGGTGCGGGTTCCTCTTCCCAGTGGGAGGCCAGAGGCCCTGAAGATGGACGAGCAGGTGTTCAAGGGGGACCCGGACACCCCTCATTCCATCTCCTTCTCGGGCAGTGGGTTCCTCTCCTATTACCAGGCGGGGGCCGTGGACGCCCTGCGAGACCTGGCACCAAGGATGCTGGACACGACACATCGCTTTGCAGGGACATCAGCAGGTGCAGTGATTGCAGCCCTGGTCGTCTGCGGGATTGAAATGGGTAAGGCCTCTGTTCTGGGGTTCTGGGGGTGTCTCTAGAGGGATTCCTCAAAGCAGAACCTGTGGGACCTTGGGGATGCTTTGGGTTACAAAGTCAGGCCTGGCAGGCAGGAAGGGAGGTAGGTCAGGAGAACTGTGGGCAGCCTTGAGGTGTGCCAGGTTGCAAAGTGACCCACCAGTGCGCAAAAATCTCTCTCTTCCCATCCCACAGGGCCCTTAGCTATGAGCTGGGCTGCGGCCCAGGGGCCTGAGGGAAGGAAGCTCACTCTCTCTCTCTCATCCTGGGTTCAGCATTATGCCAGGTCCCTGCAATCCAGTCAAAAGTAAGGTTGGGTATTGTTTCTCCTCGGCTTGGTTTTTTGGAAGCAGACACTTCTAATCCTCAAGGGTGTGGTAGGGAAGGAATTCCCGACTTTCTAAACTCCTGCTACCTGCCAAGTATGTCAAGTGGTTATCCAGACCCTTGTGAGAACTGAAGTTCTAGAAAGTTCTGGAAAGAAGAGACCAATAAACTTCCAAATAAGGACACCTCTTATGTACAAACTGCAGCAGACCAGGACCCGGGAGAAAGGGAACTGTTTGATGGTCAGGAAAGCCTTTTTAAGGAGTTGACATCCAAGCAAAGACTTCATCAAGTGAGGGGGCAAGCATCATGATATGCAGGGAAAGAACCTTTCTGGGGTCTGGTGATGGAGCTGAGAAAGGGGCTGGGGATGAGGCTGAAAGGCACCTGAACATTCAGGTGACCCAAGACCACAGCAGCCAGTCCAACCAGATTCTGACGCATGTGGAGTACAGCCAAGTAAGGACTCACAAAGAGTGTGAGCTATGCTACAGACTCAGAGGCTGATCTTCTGTGCCTCAGTTTCCTCCATAAGGGAGACCCCCAAGATGCTATGTCCCTAGGTTGTTAAAATGATGAACTGGGGCTGGGATTGGTGTGGCATGGTCCCAGCACTCAGGAGGCAGAGGCAGGTGGATTTCTGAAATCGAGGCCAGCTTGGTCTATGTAGTGAGTTCTAGGCTAGCCAGGGCTACATACTGAGACCCCCGTCTTTAAAAAAAAAATGGATGAATGGGCTTACACTGGCAAACTGCCGATTTGCTGACTGGGGCACAAAAGTGCTAGGAAAAGTGTCAGCTCTCTAATTTGGGGTTTGGGGATCTCTGACTATTGGGCAGAGTGTGCTAGAGGGGACAAGGTAGAGACGAGGTGCGAGTTGAGTGTGGTATGTAGATGGTGGGAGAGAGAATGGATTTAGAATGTGCTAGAAGGTAGACTGGATGATACCAGGCAAAAAAGCATCAGCTGCTCCATCTCTTTGTGTGAGGAGGTGGCACTCAGTCCCTTGTAGCCTAAGACCTCACTCTGGAAGCCTGGTCTTTGTTAGAAAGAACAATAGCAACGCCCACTCACTGAGCACCATGTCTATGCAATGTGATTTTTTTTTCTTTTTAATATTTCTGCAAGTAATAAACAAATTCTTGCTGTACAGAGTTCATGAAATGGGAAAATATTGAGTTAAAATTTCCACCCAGCCCCCAATTCACTCTCCCTCCTAGAGCCGGGGTGAAGGGATCAGCAAGGATCTTTCTAGATCCTTCTTAGATACAGGGCTGTCTGTGGGTACAGGCTTAATGTTTATCTCACTCAGTGGACAATGTGTTAGGACTTCAGAAAGGGGCTGGGGGTGTGAGCTGGCCTCTCCTGGGGTCACAGACCTCTTGCTCTGGAGACATGGGCTCCCTGAGAGGAGGATATTACCCTTTCTGAGTGGCTGAACTGTTGTTCCCATTATCCTCTGGCTTCGATTTAATTTAATTTAATTTTAGACAGAGTTTCATGTAGCCCAGGCTGGCCTTGAACTGTATGTGGCTAAGGATGACCCTGAACTTCTGACCCCTCTGCCTCCACTTCCCGAGTACTGGGGTCACAGGGGTGCACCACCATGCCCATGTACCCAGTGCTGGGACTCAAACCTTTATATCAAGTTCTTAGAAGATACCATCCTTATGAGTGGGTGGCATCGTCACCCTCCAGATTCAAAGACTTCTCAGATTCAATTCAGTTCATTCAAGTGGATAAATATTGCTCAAAATCTGCTTGATCAGGCTGTGACGAGCCTGGACCACAGGAAAGGGAATGAAAACCCCCACATCATGGAAAGCCCCTTGGTGGGATCAAGGCCTAGACTGAGCAGGCCTCATAAACATGGTGGGAGGTCAGGGAAGAGACCGCACCAGCTGGTCTGGAACTCACTATGTAGACCAGGCTGGCCTTGAACTCATAGAGATCCGGCTGCCTCTCTGCTGGGATTAAAGGTGTACACCACCATGCCCGGCCAGTTGAGACATTTAAAAAATATATTTTATTTATTATTTTTATGTATATGAATGTATTGCCTGCATGTATGTAAGTACACCTGTGTTGTGCAATGCCCATGGGGGAACTGGAGTTGTAGACAATTGTTAGTAGCCATGTGGGTGCTGGGATTCAAACCTGGGTTCTCTGCAAGAACAGTCAGTGCTCTTAACTGCTGGGCCATCTCTCCAGCCCCATAGTTTAGACATTTTAACTGCTTGTAATTTCCTACTAACCAGCCCTTACTTTATGCCAAGCCCTGTTGTAAGTTTTTGGCATATTAACTCATCCTACCCTCATAACACCCTCCGAGTTGAAAACTGTTATTACCCCCATTTTACAGCTGAGGAAACTGAGTCACAGAACACTTATAGAACTTGCCTGAGGATACAAAGAGTACTTAGGACAGCTGAACTTGAATCCAGTTGAATCTAGTCTGGTCAGAGTGGGTGCTCTAATGCTGAGCAGAGTGGAGACCCCTAGAATGTGGGTGGTGTGCTGGGGTACCCGCATACAGGCAAAACACCAATACACATAAAATAGAAATAAAAAATAAAACCCGCAGGGCATGGTGGTATATGTGCATGCTTAAGCTCCCTGGAGAGGCAGGAGGATTCCTGGGGCTCCCTAGCTAGCCAGCCTAGCCTAATAGGTGAGTTCCAGGCCAATGAGAGACCTTGTCTCAGAGGAGGTGGATGGCATCCTGAAGATGACACCTGATGTTGTCCTCTGGCCTCCATGTGCACACATGTGCACACATAGAAGACCTCCTGTGTGCTGCAAGAGGTTAAACCAGTACAGTCACTTTGGAGAATCTGCAATTTAGAAGAGCCAGTGATATGCATACTTTGGAGTCTAGAATGACATGTATGCCACATGGGTGTGGCAGACACTGGCAAGCATGTCCATTATGGCATTGTGTACAACCAGACACGGTGTCTGACAATAGAACTAACTGAAATGGGGTCCAGACCTAATGTGATACAGAGACTTGAATCCTGGCTCCTGTTCTGCAGTTTTGTTTTGTTTTGTTTTGTTTTGTTTTGTTTTTGGTCTTTTTGAGACAGGGTCTCCCTGTAGCCCCAGCTGTCCTGGAACTCACTATGTAGACCAGGTTGGCTGGGATTAAAGTGCTGGGATTAAAGGCGTGCACCACCACGCCCAGCTCTCCACTTGTATTTTTATTTTATGTGCATGAGTGTTATGCCTGCATACATGTAAGTGCACTCGTGTCATGCAATGCCCACAGAGGTCAAAAGAGGGCATCAGATCCCCTAGAACTGGAGTTATGGACGGTTGTTAGCCACCATGTGAGTGCTTGGAAATGAACCCAGGTCCTCTGCAAGAGCAGCCAGTGCTCTTAGCTACTGAGCCATCTCTCCAGCCCCTTATTTTAATTATTTTTACATTTATTTATATGTGTGTACATGTACCATGGCATATGTATATGTGGAGGAAAACTTGCATGAATCAGTTCTCTTCTTCCCCCACGTGGTCTTGGGGATCAAACTCAGGTCATCAGGCTTGGCAGAAAGCCCCTTTACCCTCTGAACCATCTCATTGGCCCTCTTTATATCTGTTTCTTTTGTCATTCGGAAAAATGTAAAGTTAATGCTATCAAACGTATCCATTTCTTCTTGTAGTTTCCTCTATGGTTTCCTCTACACTGTCTGAAAGTTTTTAGTGTTATGTTTCCATGTTTAGGTTAACCCCTCTAGAGTTTATTTAGATAGGAGGCTGAGGTGGAGGTTTGATGTCTTAATTGCTTTACCTTCCGCAGGCAGGCCATCTCAGGCAAGCATGCACGCCTTTAATCCCAGCACTCAGGAGGCAGAGGCAGGAGAACCTCTGTGAGATTGAGGCCAGCCTGGTCTACCTAGCGAGTTCCAGGCCAGCTGGGGCTATCGGTAGACCCTGTCTCAAAAAGACCAAAAAACTGAAACAAACAAAAACAAAATAAAAAAACAAGAGTCCATAGCCTGAAGCAGCCTAACTGCAGCCCCTGATTTACCATTTTAGAGCTTTGTCATATTATGCTGAACTAAATCAAATAATGTGAAACTTCCCACCAACCTGAAAAGCTCCTGAAAGTCCCCTTCCTTTGCTTTCTCCTCTTTCCTCCACCTCCCTTTCTCTTTAACCCTTGCCTCTACCATTGTCAGCTGCCATTCAACAAAAAGCTCTGTTAAGATTTTAACCAAAATGAAACGTTCCCATGATAAATTAACCCATCTCTCTATCCATTCTGCTCTTATGTCTTTCAAAAGAGAATTATTTTTAGGGAGGGTGTCAAGACAGAGTCTCACTAGGTAGCCCCAACGGACCTGGAACTCACTATGTAGACCAAGCTGGCTTTGATCTCACAGAGATCCACCTGCCTCTGCCTCCCGAGTGCTGGGATTACAGATGTGAACCATCACACCTGGCTATTTGATAAAGATGTTGCAGGCCATTTATTGGATTTATTGCTTTAGGGTTTTGTTTGTTTGGTTTGGTTTGGTTTGGTTTTGGTTTTTGAGACAAGGTCTCACTCTGTAGCCCAGACTGGCTGGGGACTCACTATGTAGTCTAGGCTGGCCTCCAATTTATGGCAATCCTCCTGCTTCAGCCTCCTGTACTGGATTTATTTCTAAGGACCT